CTCGCGGGGCGGCGGCATGCGGGCCTGAGCCGGGCTGGGGCCGGACGGCTGGTCATCCGCACCCTCGGGGCATCCTGGCAGCAGCTCCGCGGACGGTCCCACCTGAAACCGAAGGACACAGAGTCAGGAGCCGAGGCAAACAAACACGAGCGCAGGGTGGCGCCAAGGGCCGTAGGAACTGAGCGCCCGGAGGGCGACCCCTCCCACGCCCAGGGAGACCGGCTCCCCTCTGCTTTCTCTCCAGCTGCAAGAATTAAGCAGCCACAGGTTTTTACTAACACGCGACAGCTACCAGTTAGCAGGGGCTTCCTCCTGCCAGGCACCATGTTAAGTGCTCCATGTGGGCCAATGCATGACAATACTAGGAGGCAGGTGCTACTATCCCCATTTTGCAGATGGGGAAACTGAGGCATAGATGCTGAGGAAGTGAGGAGTCAGGGTTGGAATCTGGAGCATGTGGCCCCTGAGCCACTGGCCTCTACCAGTACACCCACCGCCCAGGACCCTCGAAGTTCTGACTGAGGCAGGAGGGGCTCTACACAGAGAGTCCCATGGGTCCCTGCTTCCCTCATCTTCCCACAACACTGTCCCAACATCATGGTCCCACCTCCGGGGCATCTGCCTTGTTCAGAGCTCCACCAAATCCGCGGAATGGCAGTGCTGAGATACGGGACACCCCAGTGGCACCAATTCAAGACAGGAAACATGGTTTCCACCCTCAGAGAGCCTCAGGCTGATGGAGAGGTCCCAGAGCTAACACTTAGTTCCCGCCCCTGAGAGGCACTAGGCTGACAGAGAGAAACAGAGGGACTCAAGGCCCTGGTCAATCCCTGGACTTTATTTTCCTCACCCCAATGTCAGGCTGACATGTTTTCTTCATATCAGAGACACACACACACACACACACACACACACCCAAAAACAAAAACCTAGAAGTTTCTTCTCAAAGTTTCCTAGAGAAATCACACACATCAAAAATCCTGTTCTTGTCCCCACCAAACCCAGTTCCCTGCCCCAGCCATATGTGTCCCTCAGCCCCCGTTGCCAGTATAGTATGAGAACAAGTATGGACAGGACTGAAAATCAAGCACAATTAGGGACCTAAAACTGCCACAGAAAGCCACCAGGCCCACTCAGAACCCAGCATGCAAATCACTGTCAAGGTTGCATTTCTTGCAGAACCCAGCATGCAAATCACTGTCAAGGTTGCAACTAAGAGCGGATGTGTTTAAAAACGTCAAGTTCTGATTTTCTCGTGCTTACTCCAAGATTTACAGTAATTTTGTTAATTGTAGGAAAGTGGCAGCTTTATTTTAAGGAATTCTTCCATCAAAGGATATTCTTAAGTTCGATGAACCAGGTGCAAACTTGTTTTTGTTTTCCCTTGTCCAGGGTGTGGGGTCACAGGCTTAACAGCTGATATAGAAATGATCCTGCAAGCAGATCAACCCCTAAGAAAACCTGTTCACACTCTGTGTCTGCGTTTAGATACTTTGTCTTTGCATAACATAGCATATGCATGACTTTATTTTACTTAAATGTGATCAACCATCAGTTCATGCAAGTTTTTCTTCTTTTACTTATTTATTTATTTTTGAGTCGAAGTCTCATTCTGTCGCCCAGGCCGGAGTGTCTCAAGAAACCATGAGCCACTCCAACATCGACCCACTAGCCTCCAGTAATCCTTCCGCCTCAGTTTTCCAAGTAGCCAGAACTACAGGCACACACTACCACACCTGGCTAATTTTTTATTTACTGTAGAGACGAGGTCTCACCAAGTTGCCCCGGGTTGGTCTCAAATCCTCAGGCTCAGGCAGTCCACTTGCCTCGGCCTCCCAAAATGCTGGAATTACAGGCTGAGCACCGCGCCCAGTCTGTTTTTCCTTCTTAATATGATATTGTGGCCACCTTCCCATGTCAAATTATATAGGTAGCCTTCACCACTGTTAGTGCCTGAGTAGTATTCTGTTGACTGAGTGAAGCATGATTAATTATCCAACTCCCTCTACCCCGCCTCTTCCCAGATGAGTAGGCCACGGCCCAGAGAGGCCAAAGCCATTTCCCAAGGAGACCCAGAGGGTGGCCTCAAATGATCAGCCCAAGAGTTTTGTTACGAGAATGAACACAAGAAGGCAGCCAAGTATGACATGGCTCTCCCAGCCAGCTTTAGATACCCCCACCTCCACAGCCATGTAGCCCATCAATCCCCTCTCCCTCGGAAGGCTGGGGGGGAGGGACACACCCTCCAAGGCAGGCTCCACCCTGACAGCTGCCTTTGTCCTGGGCTCTGGGGAGCAGCCCTGAGGTCTCTAACACAGATCTCAGGGCCAGGAGGCCCCAGAAGCCAATGCCCTGGGCTGCTGTCTGCTGACCTAACACACAGGGGTCATCACACACAGGGGTCAGAGACATGTGCTAAGGCCCTCTGGAGGAAAGCCACCATCCCCCTCTGCCTCTCCGGGAATTTAGTAAGAGAGATGAAGAGACACAGCTCTCACTTCACCAAAGGCAATTCCTCGGGGGAACCCGACCTGGTCCACCACACAGAGAGGAAGAAGAAAGATGGCGGAGCCTATGTTTTCCCCATTAACAGGTCTCTGGACAGGTCCCTCAGGCTCAGAGCTGCTCTGAGTGCTGAGAAGTTCCCAGAGGCATGCTCACTCTCCTACCATTATAGGAAGCAGCACAGTCAGGCCTGCAGTTTCCACTCTGCCACTCCCCACCGTGGGACCTTGGACAAGCCTCTCATTCAATGTCCTCATCTGTATGTATCTTTCCCTTTTTTTTGAGTCAAGGTCTCACTCTGTCACCCAAGCAGGAGTACAGTGGCATGGTCATGGCTCACTGCAGCCTTGATTTCCAGGGTGCAGGGAATTCTTCCACCTCAGACTTCCAAGTAGCTGGGAATGTAGGCATGCACCGCCATGCGTAGCTAATTTTTTGATTTATTGAGAGACAAGGTCTCGCCATGTTGCCCAGGTTGGTCTTGAACTCCTGGGCTTAAGAAATCCTCGTCTCGGCCTTCCAAAGTGCTGAGATTACAGGCGTGTGTCACTGCACCCAGCCTGCACACAGCCTTTATGGGTCTTCCATGGGAACGAAACAAGAGAATCCTCAGCACAGAGCCTAAAATGTGGCTGCCTGGGGTCATTCTTGTCACCACCCAGAAGGCTGGGGAAAAGCCAGGGCAGTAGGTAACCTGGCCAAGCTGCCTCCCCACCGGGGTGGACAGGGTGGGGGGTATTCTAAGGGAACCAATCCTTGGCACTCTCTCAGCCCTCTGGAAGGAGAGACTAACCCTCAGAGCCAGGGGAAGCCTGGCTGGCCTGGGCAGCTAGAGACACTACTCCTCAGTCGGCCTCTTTCATCGACCCTGGGTGCAAAGCCTTGAAAAATATCCTGTAGGCCAGGGTCGGTGGCTCAGCCTGTAATCCCAGCACTTTAGGAGGCCGAGGTGAGTAGATTGCCTGAGCCTGTGAGTTCAAGACCCACCCAGGCAACTTGACAAGACCGCGTCTCCACAATAAATAAAAAATTAACCAGGCGTGGTAGTACGCGCCTGTAATTCCAATTACTTGGAAGGCTGAGGCGGAAGGATCGCCGAAGCCCAGCAGGTAGAGGCTGCGGTGGCAGGGAGCATGTCACTGCACTCCAGTCTGGGTGACAGAGTGGAACTCCAACTCAAAAAATAAAAATATCCTGTTGTGTGGGGGCCCCGACATATGTAAGGCTGATATGTCCAACCCAGCTGCACACCCCGCTCCACATTACAGATGAAGAGACAGACCCAAGGACACAGGGTGAGAAAGGTAAAGTCTAGACTTTTCCATCAAAGGCAGGGGTGTGGATGAAGACACTGGCTCCAAAACAAGAATGGAAAACGCAGGGAGACACAAACACCTTTCTACAGGACTCTACAAGGACTCAGGGACTCCCCAAAGCCAAGCTGCCGATAATTAGCACCAGGTGGGGCTGTGACAGCCCCAGTTCTCAGAGGACTGTCCCCCTACCCCCTCGCTAAAAAGGGCAGAGTCTGAGACCAGACTGAGGTGTGGCTGGAGAGGCCAGGAGCAGGGGGAACTGTCCTCAGGATTATAGTCACCGTGCCAAGCTGCCTTTTGCAACTAACAGTGCTCAAAGGAAAAGCCCTTTAAAACACACAAAGGCATTAAGGAAGGCAGAAGACAGGCTTATGGGCTCATGTCAGATGCTCTCTCATTTAACCTTTATTATAGCTCCACAAGATAGGTGGTATTGTCTTCATTTTATAGCTGTGAGAACAGGTTCAGAGAAGTTAGGTAACTTGCCCAAAGTCACACAGCCAGTATGTAGAGTGGCCAGAATTAGGCACCCATTTCCTAAGAGCCAAAAATGCCAAGTAAGGCTTTCAGGGTTGAGTGCCAAGGAGCCTGAGGAATTCAGCCATGTGTGTCCCAGGCCCAGGAGACTGGGCATAGCCCAGAGGACACTCCAGTGGAGGAAACATGACCCAGACAGCCAGGGGAGGTC